AGGAGGCCAGCAGGAGGTCGATTAACCAGTCCTGATAAATTGAAACATGGCCTTAGAGAAGTGCCAGCGCCTGGGTGCCCTGGTAAAAGCATTAAAAATGCAAAGCGCGGTCCTTTTAGCAGCTGCCATTGCACGCCTTGCATTTGAAGATAAATGCTGCACTGAAGTGCCTCGCCCGAGCGGCTGTGGCTGCGAGAGAAATCAGAAGGCTGCTTAATCCCTGAGAGCTCCAGCAGGGTCCCCGGCAGATGTCTGGGCCCAGGGTTTCCAAACCTGAACAGAAAAACACATTAACCCAGACTGCCACGGCGCTCCGCCACTCCGCTGTTCCCAGACAGATAGAGTGCAGAGTGCGGAGAAGTGGCTGAGACACCCTCCTCCTTTGTTCCTTTCTCTATTTGTAACAGAGACTGCAGTCAGTGGTATCGGCTGTTCTCTGAGCAGCCACGGTCACAAGAAGAAAATTCCCTGGAGTCCCAGGTGAGAGGCACCGGCTTACATATTGACAGTGGAGAAACAAAAAGGAAGCGAGACACACCACACCATCCTCTGTGCTGTCAGATATCAATCTAGAGTGTGTCTGGAGGGACTGGAGAGGCAGCTCTGTATCGCAGAATCAGAGCATGGCCACCTCAGATAAGTAGGATCCATTGAAGGGTGGAGAGCCGGTTCTGTTCCTGCTCACGGCCGACACAAAGTGCTACAGCACCAGCACACACAGTCCACAAACTGCTGCTGCTTTATGGCCAAAGACAAGGAGTTGTACTGATACGGCCATGAGTTATGGCATCAGCAGTCTCACTGCTAACCCCATCTGTGGTACAGGATGGTTACCATGCACCACTGTATGGTCCAGCTATAGGGGGAACACGCTCTGGACTGTGAGGGTTTCTCTAAATCACACACAGCCGTTGTGGGGGGACTCGGTGGAGGACGGGGCTTCGTGTTCACTCAGAACAGTGACGGCTGGAACAGCTGCAGTGAACATTTGCATGCAGATGGAGAAGGACTGCGACTAGAATGGACGATCCACTACATGACTCTACATGAAGCACCAGAGCTGCCTTAAGCCTCGGTCACAACCGGATGGACAACTTTTGGGATCATACGTCCTCTGCGAGTTTTGGGTCCCGTGGAGGTCATAGAGGTAGAGGAAAGGTTGCAAGGGCTCCGTCAGAAAGGCGTCAGAAAGGGGCGAGTCTCAGGGGTGACCTTCTATACTCTTGGCATGCTCCTTCAGAAACACTTGATGGCTGGCCTCCTGACTTTGGAAAACCCCCCCACATTTCTGAAGGGTGTGTGTGACCATGTGTGCTACTTGAAGGACGTGAGAACAATACATTCATGTTGTGATTGACCAGCTGTGTCTACGTCATACGGTTTCCTAATTCTCACTTTTTCTGTTGTAAGTTTATAAAATATTCCCTTGACTTGAACAACCAAGCCGTGGATTAGCTTCACTGAGCTGCAGGCCAACATTTAACAGCCTGCTTTAGGTTTCAGATTTAACTGTCATGTTTTTTTACGCATAATTTTTAAATAACTGTAGAGCTTCTCGACTGCCCTGCAAACACACTCGTTTTAAAACATCCCTTTAGGAACCTTTTGTTTCTACTATTCCCCCTCAGCTCTTTCCGTCCTGCTATTGTCTGTAACCTCCAATTAAACAAACCGCTAGCACAAAGCGGAAGAATAGGAAGGATGGACAAAGTGGAAGAAAATGGATGGATGGATGGATGGATGGATGGATGGATGGATGGATGGATGGATGGATGGATGGAGGAAGGGAGGGATGGATGGATGGATGGATGGATGGATGGATGGATGGATGGATGGATGGATGGATGGATGGATGGCTAGCACAAAGACAACTACAAACTTATTTTTTTTTAATGTTGACTTTTTTTTCAATTTTGAGTGGATTCAGTCAGTTCAATTATGTGTATATAGAGCAGGTCCCAACATCTCCCAGTGCTGAACACAGTCAGGTGAAGACCTCAGGAGTGGATACGTCCTGCTTCAGAACAAACCCACATCGGCCGTGTTCTCCCAGACTTCTGAACACTGTCCTGTGGAACAAGTGTTGGTTCTGTGCTCAGGGGAACATGCTACTGCCTCACGGAGCTTTGTGATAACTTTAAGAGGAAACTAATGAGAGCTCAAGCTAGTTATGTGTAATCAATACAGATCTATCAATCAGCCAATGACTACCCTCTGATCAGAGAGGAGGAGCAGCTGTCATACGTGTTAGCTGTACCGTGTGCTGTTTAAATAAGTCTCCATGTGCCCGTACACACCGTGCCTCTCACTTGATGTTTCTTGGGCTCTGGAGACATCTCCTGTGGAATGAACTTGATTGGTCCTTTGATCTGCCTCCTGGACCTCTTGGTTCCGTCGGGTAACGTCTCCATGGCGATGTCAGCTTCGTCGCTGCTGGCCTGGTCGCACTCGGAGCATTGCCTGAGGAGAAGGAGGGAGCTCTCTGTTATCACAGACCCACATCCTGAGCCTCGACTGGACAACAGCAACAACAACACAGAAAGCTTTCATGGCTCTGGCCGTTCTCACAGTGGTAGTGGTAGTAGTTCTAGTAGTAGCAGTAGTAGTACTACTCTGTACAGCAGTAGTAGTAGTAGTAGTAGTAGTAGTAGTACTCTGTACTACTAGTAATACTCTGTACAGCAGTAGTAGTAGTAGTAGTACTACTACTCTGTACAGCAGCAGTAGTAGTGGTAGTAGTACTCTGTACAGCAGTAGTAGCAGTAGTAGTACTACTCTGTACAGCAGTAGTGGTAGTAGTAGTATTAGTATTAGTAGTAGTAGTACT